TATCTATCTATCTATCTATCTATCTATCTATCTATCTATCTATCTATCTATCTATCTATCATATATCTATTGCTTCTATGTTACAGAAAGTTCTATAGCTAGCTTTGTAAATTCCTCACGTCAGAAATAGTTTTCTTTAAGCTGCAACATCTGAGTTTCTACTGGAATCAAAATGGGAATTATAAACTATGTTCTGAAATTTTAAGGAATAATACAGAAATCTCATTATTCTTCATCATTTTAATGGAAGTTTCAAAAGATCTACCCAGGAAGTAAAAGTCATAAAAAGAGTCAGCAGATGAGCAAGAGGTAGAAATTCTGCTGGTGTGATATTAGATCCTGAAGAATAAAATGAAGCAGGCATATTGTTCTCTTTGATTACTCCCTTTGGCCAACAGTCCCAGTTTGTTAATTACCTTTGGAGTTCCCTGAGGCCCATAGCTGGGCATATTGGGGGTGGCAGAAGAAAAAGCTGAAATTCCTTTTTTATTCATGCTCTACTAACTCTGATAACTTGATCTCTGAATTCTTCTAGTGGGACTCACACCACTATTTCCTACTCCCCGAAAGAGCAAGGGATGAATCCAGTTGATATTTCAACTATTTTACAGAGCCTTTTGCAAATTGGTCTCCCCAAAAAGAAAGATGATTAATTACAGATACTTTTCCAAAAATGAAAGTTTCTAAAATGGTAAGTTTTACTAACTACCTTGGTGTTTCCCAGAAACTCTGCATAATTAGACTGATTTATTCAGCAGCAATTCAGAGGGATTTGCTTTCATCTTTGGGATGTAACTGCTTCACGTTGTTGCACAAATTTGTTCAAGCACAATGCAGCCAGGTGCAAATCTGGTATTATAGCAAACCATGGCAGATTCTTTCCCATAGCCTTTTAATTCCATCTTCCATCAGTGCAGACAAATTTATAGAAATAGTCAGGGTTCTTTTAAGACTCTGAGAAGAAATCCGATTTGATCTTGAAAGGCCAAAGGGAGTCAGTTTGGTCTAGTTAGTAGTTAAGGCACCAGACTTGAAAACAGGAGACCATGAGTTCAAATCCTGCCTTAGCCATGAAAGCTGACTCTGTGTCTTTAGGCCAGTCACTGTCTCTTAGCTCAATCTACCTCACAGGTTTGTGAAAAATGTTTGCTTAATGATTGTGGCCTTCCCATGACTGATACAAAAAATGGGTCATAAAATTGGGCAGGGTTATGGGGTGATCAATTTAATGTCTGTCATGTCATGCTTATCCTCAACGTTTCTTCAGTTCTCAGCATCACTATACATTGTGCCCTAGAACCTGCTGCTGTGACCTAGAGGTGGAGCTCTCACCTCACACTCAGGAGGTTGTGAGTTCAATCCTAGGTAGAGACAGATGTATGGTCTACTGCTTGGGCAAGTGGTTGGACTAGATGACTTTCAAGGCCCCTTCCAAATCTGCTAATCTGTTAATTCTTGTGAATATTTGAAATAATTCCTATAAATACAACAGCTAGCTCTTTCCTATTCCAATGCAAGAGCATTCCCTTCAGGATCCTATAGGACAGGGATGTCAAACTCGATTTCATTGAGGGCCGCAACAGGGATGTGTTTGACCTTGGGATGGGGGAGGCTGAGTGGGCATAGCCAGGGTGGGCATGGCCAGCTCAATGTCACTCATGTCAGGGACCTTTGTGATGGCTCCCGTGCTTGTGGCCCTCCCAAGTGCCATTTTCACTGGCAGAGGGCTGCAGGAGGCTGTTGCAGCTGAAAACAGAGTTTGGGTGGGCTGATGCAGCCCTCCCGAGCTCCATTTTTGCTGACAGCAGGCCGGTCCTTTGCTGTTTCCAGGTCAGCCCTTGTGGCAGATTTAAGCACCCCATGAGCCAGGTCCGGCCACTGGACCTTGAGTTTGACACCCCTGCTATAAAACATATCAATAAGTGTAATGGGGATAGGACAATGGTACTGAATCAATGGTGGGATTCAGCTGGTTTGCACCTAGTCGGGAGAACTGGTTGTAAACTTTCTAAGCAGTTCGGAGAACCGGTTGTTAGAAGAAATCTCATTTTGTTTTTTTCCACTTTACAGGGCAAATCCTGTAAAGAAGGCAGGAAGGAAACATTCTGGTGTTGTTTATAGCCTCATCTTTATTGCCCTGCTTACAGAAACTGCCTCTCCGGTGAACCCTTATTACATTGCAACAGCTAAAGTGAAGGGCCCATCAACGTGAGTGATGTTGACTTGGCCACGCCCACCCAGCCACATGACCACCCAGCCACGCCCACCCAGCC